ACAATTTTTGATCATTTACATCCAGAAACATGCATAGAAACTTGATGTAAATAGACCTACCCTCAATTTTTCTTTACTTGACGGCCGTTTGTGATCTTTAAATCACGCAACTTAGGTGATCGATGTTGAAAAACAAACATCAAAATCATGAAATACAATGATTAAAGTTACATAAAATCACATTTTTAAGTGATTTTATCGTAGGCCGGAAAATGGCCTTATAGAGAATCATCCTTTCATGTCCTGAATCTTATGGAAATATAGTAAATGACCGATAGTAATTGTAACGTTAAGAAAATATTTCATCCACCACCAAAGAAACACATTGATTTAAAACTTCGTACTCACATGATGACTTATGGTATAAAATCATCATCTAAGCCACAATCACCTGTACATGCTAGATATGACCTCTTGAAACTATACCCTTGTACTTTTCTAAAAAAAAAATATTGTATTTTAGAATTTTATATATCCAGTTTATGTCATATACTCTGAGCATAATGAACCCTAAGATAATATAATCTTTGGAATTTATTTTATAGTGGACAAAAATTGAACTTGATGCAGGGTTGTTATACATCCCCAAGTCACAATTATCCCTTTGCCTTGATTTACATCTAGTATAACAATAATGTGATTGCCCGCTTGGCGCAGTGGTCAGAGCATTTGCTCTAGAGCAGTGGAGTAAGGACTTGTTCCTTAAGTCATAGGTACAAATCCCACTGTAGGACGTGGAGACCGGTTCTTCCAATGAAACCAAATTCCCTTGTTGCAGTATATGCTGGGACAAGAAAAGACCTCTCACTGCTCAAAAGTACAGGTCTAAATTTGCAGCCCTCAACCAGCAAGTTGTGGTGTCTCAATACTAGTGAAAAATTCTTAAAGGATGTATAACAAACAAACAAACAGAATTATGTGTTTATCTGAATATTTATTACATTTCTAAACCCTATGGCCTTGACCTGTATTAACCTGTGTTAGGACCATACTCTGAGGTTACAAACAATTATTGGTAAGTATTTAATACTTTGATATACAGTGACTATGACCTTGTGCAAAAGACCATTACTACTGGGTCTAGAATATTTCTGGCCACAAGCTACCTTTGTTTCAAAAGATGTCTACTCACAGAAGACACGTAGACTTCACAATTCCAGTAACTTCATTTGTTGTTGTATAAAAATGTCAATATTTCCCCATGCAAAAATATTTGTAAAACAACCCCTTTTCTTCTCATGTCTAAGATCTCTATCCTAAATACACATTTGTCACAGTCACTGTCTACTGAATTCATAAATCTAAAGGTCGTTCATACAGTCTTATTTTAATTCATATTCTTGTGTCTTTAACATCATTACACATATAATTTTTCCATGTTTGAATAGACAATAAAAATTGGAAACCATAAATACAATGAATTAGATTTGTTATAACTGTAACAAATAATGCAAATATGTGCAAGTCATGTAAAATTTCATTTTATTTGTAAATGTGTATTACATTGGTGACATTTGTATACTGTTCAATATATGCATAAGGACTTCTATTATTATCAATCTTCACAACATTAGTTTTGTATAAAGTAATAAATAACTAGTATTTTGTACACAAACATAACATCAATAAAAATAACAATCTTTTACATATCTATAAATATACATAAGAGGAATAAAACACTATTTTGAAATCATCATTACATTTTCATTTCTTGTCAATTAAAAAAAATGAATAGCATTATTAAACTATTACAACATGTTTTAAACCACAAATGTGTGTTCTAAAATGCATTATATACAAAGTGAGATGCACTGATTAACTGTTCATTGTAAGTTGAAATGAAGTTATTACTTATAAAAACACTTTGCATTAAAAAGCAATCTTTACATAGTTTATTTGATGAGAATATTCCCTCGAACAATAAACTGGCAAGATGTAATACAGACTCTGAAATACCTATACCACCTATTTCAAATAGTACAGTTTGCATTTCATCCATGAGATTATTGACCTTGAAAAATTATGTTTTCTTCTCTTTGAAAGGAACATCTGTGCTATGAAAGGGATATATTAAATAATGTTATTACAAGACACACAAGTAATTTTTATCTTGATAAAAAATGGTGACCTTCTCATGTCAATTAAGAGAACCATTTCACACAATTTGTGCTAGAATCTCATCTACAAGGTGTTGGCAGACAGGCTACCATACTAATACATCCCTGTAAATGAGTTGTAAATATAAAAGAAGTACCTGAAAGTCATTCAGAAAAAAAATTAAAAAGCTGGCTTAAAGATGCTACATTTGTCAGCTGAAAAGCATCTTTCACAATACATTCCTAGCATATAATTTTGTGCATATTATATGGTATAATGTTTTTGTTGTTGTTTACAGAGCAAAAATAAAAAGTATATCCATGTACAAATGTACAAGAGGGCAAAACTAGAAATATGTCCATAGGACATGAATGCCCCGCTGAGGGTATATTAATTTTTATTTGCTTGTTTATTGTTTAACATCCCTCTCGAGAATTTTTCACTCGTATGGAGACGCCACCACTTGCCAGTGGAGAGCTGCAAATTTTGACCTATACTCGGCACTAAGGGCCATTAAGCAGTGAGGGATCTTTTTCGTGCCAGCACCTACTGTGACATGGGACCTCGGTTTATATGGTCTCCACGTCCCACAGTGGGATTCGAACCAGTGACATAAGGATCAACTCCTTACTCCGCAACTCTAGAGCTTTAACCACTGCACCATGTGGGCATATTAGTAATGCAACATAAAAATATTTTAGTGTATGAAATTTGATGAGAATATCTTAAAATAGTTTCTTTAACATTGAAATCGAGAAAGTTGGATATAGATGATAAATTCTCACCAAATTCTGTTAAGTGCATAAGCTCACATAAAATTATCTTTAATGGTTTCTTTAAAACTAAGTAAAATGCAAATTTAAGAAAAGTGAGGTCCAGGTCACAGGAAAGTTCAAGGTCATACATTTTTGATGCAGTTGAATAGTTCTCACTAATACGCATAAGCAAAATAAGTTTGATAAAAATATTTTGAATGGAAACCGTTTATTTAACACTGAGCTAATCACTATTTCAAGAAAAATGAAGTCAAGGTCAGAAATGTTGATACAGTCGAATACCTTACATCAGTCTGTATCAGCATATGACGTTTGACACTAATTTAGGAAAAGTGAGGTGAAGGTCAAAGGAAAGATCAAGATCAAAACATAGGTAATCAAAGATTACAAAGCTCACCTCGACGAATGTTATCTACGTGTAAGGCAAATTTCACATCATATTTTTTTCTAGTTAGGGTACATCCCAAGATCAATGTCCATGCAAGTTTGATTTAATTATAGACCTGCTCAAAAAACTTTTGACCTGTTTAGTAATCAAGAAAAATTTTGGTCACTTCCAACATCCAAAGCAAGTCTGGAAGTTTTCATTCTTAGATGCACCATCTATGCAAGTTTAATCATAACAGGCCATAATATATAGCTACTCCAAAAAATTACCCTGGTCACTCATCTGGAAAATGTACATCAGATTCAGAATCCAAGGCAAGTCTGGAAGTGTCCATCCCTAGATACATCATCCATGCTAATTTGGTTAAAATATGGCTAAAATTCACTCATGTGGAAAATCTAGGTCAGATCCAGCATTCGAAGCAGGTTGGTTAGTGTACATCCCTAGATGCATCATCCATGAAAGTTTGGTCCAGGTAGGGCTTATAGTTACTTGGAAACGAGACTACTCCTAAATCTAAACCTGGTCTCACATGTGGAAAATCTAGGTCAGATCCAGCATCCGAAGCAAGTGTGATAGTGTCCATCCCTGGATGCATCATCCATGCAAGTTTGGTCCAGGTAGGGCTTATAGTTACTTGGGAATGGACCTGCTCCTAAAACTTTAACCTGGTCACTCATCTGGAAAATCTAGATCAGATCCAGCATCCGAAGCAAGTGTGGTAGTGTCCATCCCTAGATGCATCATCCATGCAAGTTTGGTCCGGGTAGAGCTTATAGTTACTTGGGAATGGACCTGCTCCTTAAACTTTAACCTGGTCACTCATCCGGAAAATCTAGGTCAGATCCAGCATCCAAAGTAAGTGTGGCCATGTCCATCCCTAGATGCATCATCCATGCAAGTTTGGTCCAGGTAGGGCTTATAGTTACTTGGGAATGGACCTGCTCCTAAAACTTTAACCTGGTCACTCATCTGGAAAATCTAGATCAGATCCAGCATCCGAAGCAAGTGTGGTAATGTCCATCCCTAGATGCATCATCCATGCAAGTTTGGTCCAGGTAGGGCTTATAGTTACTTGGGAATGGACCTGCTCCTAAAACTTTAACCTGGTCACTCATCCGGAAAATCTAGGTCAGATCCAGCATCCGAAGCAAGTGTGGTAGTGTCCATCCCTAGATGCATCATCCATGCAAGTTTGGTCCAGGTAGGGCTTATAGTTACTTGGGAATGGACCTGCTCCTAAAACTTTAACCTGGTCACTCATCTGGAAAATCTAGGTCAGATCCAGCATCCGAAGCAAGTGTGGTAGTGTCCATCCCTAGATGCATCATCCATGCAAGTTTGGTCCAGGTAGGGCTTATAGTTACTTGGGAATGGGACTTGCTCCTAAAACTTTAACCTGGGACGCCGACGCTAACGCCGACGCCGGGGGTATAGCATAAGCTCATCTCGACTTCGTCTAGGTGAGCTAAAAATGTTGATGCAGTTGAATAGCTCTCATCAGTATGTATCAGCAAATGAAGTTTGATTACGCTATCCTGAATGGTTTCTTTAAAACTGAGCTAAACACTTATTTAAGATAAGTACGGTCAAGGTCAAAGGAAAGGTCAAGGTAAAAAATGTTGATTCAGTATGTATCAGCATATGAAGTTTGATTACACTATCTTGAATGGTTTCTTTAAAACTGAGCTAAACACTAATTTAAGAAAAGTGAGGTCAAAGTTAAAGGAAAGGTCAAGGTAAAAAAAATATTGATGAAATTGAATACCTCTCATCAATATGTATCAGCATATGAAGATTGATAAAAATATCTTGAATAGTTTCTTTGAAACTTAGTTTTGAACTGAGCTAAAAGCAAAGCGGAATGGAAGGACAGACAGAAGGTTGGAAGGACGGAAGACGGACATGACAAACTCTATATGCCCCAGCCATATTCATGGCAGGGCAGAAAAATTTCTAGTGTACTGAAATTCAAAACTGCAGTAATTGATAATTTGTTTTTTTTTTTTTTAATTTTAATTCAATATCAAAAAACATATACAAACTTTTTTGATAATTTATTCTATTCAAAGCAATAAGAAATGCATCTGTCTGCACTGCTTAAAATTGATTAGAAGGTTATGACATAACTAAAATAATGACCATGTCCACATTAAATTTAAAATATAATGAGTGACAATTCACTTCACCTTTTCTTTGGCTTTCATTCCATTGACTTTTCTTTCTTTAAAAAATTGTGCTTGTGTAGTACTCCATCTCTAAAAAATAACATATAAATGAAAGTTTATGGCACTCAATGAACTCTCTCATCCCTTCCTTTACTGTTCAAGAAAAAAAAATGCATACCACAAGCATAGTTTAAACATGTAACTAGACTTTATGATATTTTCATACATAATGTCACCAACTTTATAAAGAATTGTGAATGCATTTCAAAGGTGAGCACATGTGAATTGAATTAAAAGTACCAGTATTGCGAGTATCTCGCAGTTATCTAACTTACAACCGCTCTTTAGCATGGGAGTCGAGGAAGCTCTAAATCTCACAAGATTTCTGGGGCATAACATTACAGCGGTGACAATGGAATGATTCGAACAATCATTATTCCCAAACTACAATGTATTGCCAAGAGTTGAACTCCAAATAGTAGATTGTCAAATAAGGAAAGTTTAGAGTATTTTATCAACTTTCAAAAGTAATGATTTTCATTTAGAATTTAATAAGAAAAGTCCGCTTAGTAAAAAGTATCGTAAAAAATGTAACATATAGGACTAGCTCCTCTCAAAAATTTATTAGGTTGGTTCAGCGCATGTTTAGCAAGATATTTCTCTAGGATTTCTTTCTTATTATAGTACACTGCCCCCATCCAACAGATGTTTCCTACCTCTGTGAAAGAGTTCCGCTAATTTCAGTAATCGCGATATAAAGTATTGTTGTTTATTCTTAAACGTATGTCAATAAAAAAACTTTTTTCGAACAGATCAATGCTTAAATTTTGAGATTATCACCCTTGGTATGCTTTTTTGTTTTTTGTATGGATGAGAGATTTGTTTATTGACAGCTGCTTTTTCATTAAAAGTGGAACTCAAAAATTAACTTATCTCGTCATTGGTCATTTGCAAAATTATTTGTAAAAAACACCGATTGTACACACAAGTACTCTGAAGTTGATATTAAAAAGATTCTTGAGTTTCTGATTGACAATATCTATGTGGTTTTTAGAGACAAGGTCTTCCAAAAATCTCTTGGAATTTCCATAGGTACCAATTGTGCTCCGTTATTATCAAACCTATTTTTGTATTCATACAAAGCAGAATTTATTTAAAATCTTATACATGAGAAGAAGAAAATACATGCTGTCGCCTTTAACATTTAGATATATTGACAAAGTACCATATTGTCACATGTAAAGGCCGTAGTCTTGTAATAGACACACCCCCAAAGGATGTATTCGTTATAACAAAAGATTTGACCTATAGGAAAGAACTATTTTCCGGAAAAAGTCACATTTAAAAATCAATGTTCTTTAGTTGTTTTCTATTGTATATTTGTCTAAATTTTTCAAATTTGCATTTTAAACGTAATTTTTTTTATTTGCAACTTTGAAATTAACCTCCAAAGTTGGTCAAAACAGTATTTTGTCCGTTAAAGCAATAATTTTTACATGAATTTTGGCATAGAAGTCCTTCAGGGCAGGCCTGCCCCTAAATTAAATTATGAAATTTTGATAGATTTTGATCTAAAGAATGATTTAAAACAAGATTTTTTTTGGGGCACCTCTGCCTTAGGATTGAAATTCGTGAAAAACCTACAAAAAATGCGAAAAACCTAGTTCTATCATACTGAATTACATTTATGGAGTGCATTTTCATAGTCATTATAGCGCAGAGAAATAGACCGCAGATTCTTTGAATGGACCTTTTTTTATGTCCTGGTTCGAATCCACCTGTTGGCACACTTTTATTTTATTTGTTTTTTTTTCAAATTTTACACCTGTATAAACACGAACTTTAATTTTTTATACAGGCTTTTGCATTTTACTTCCACTTTCTTCTTTAAATGTGTGTTTGCTGTTGATATAAAAGACATTTATGGAAATGCAGATTATAAATTCTCTTTAACTACTGTAGATTCCTAAATATACGCGAGGAATAAATTATCGCGTAATTACGTGAGAAGCACCACTCGCGAAATAAAATTACTCGCTTTTATTTTATGGTGCTTTAATGTATGTAAAATCTCTAAATAAATCACCCATTCGCAAATTATTTTTCTCATGATTTGACGCCTTTAGCCATTTCGCGATATTAAGTACTCGCGTAAAATAAGGAATCTACAGTAAACGCAATCAACCGGAACTGTATACCTCAGTGTAAGCACACTTTGTTCGAGGACGCGAATCATTCACTTTGTGTTACTCGATACTGCAGGTGTCACGAAAAAAAAATCATGACGAGCAAAAATTGCTGTGTTTGTCTTTCAAGAACATCTCTGGTTAGTAGAAGTGTTGTGCCAGTGGGAGAGATACTGCGCTATGCAGAGTAGATGCAGTTCATTCCTCGGGAAAATTGAGTGCATTGGCGACATGTTATGTCAAAAATGCAGGAGGAAGGTTTACAGATTAGAAAAGAACGTGGTAAGGTCAGTTAAGGTTTTATCTCCCGTTGCCATTACCCAGGCATCAAGTAAGGACCCTCATACAAAGGATGTATATGTAAATACCGATGTAGGGTCATATGAACACACAGTTGACTAGAACTAAAACGATACATGAGAAACAAGAAACTACACGCATGTGGCCTAAAGTCAGCGACCGGAACAGATATCGATAAGCTTTTTCTAAAGAATGAAACCAATATCGGCCCTATAGGTCAACGCATATATTTACCTAGAAGTGATCCTTTGGGGGGAAAATCCCGAGAAAAATGCAGCTCCTATGGATACAAGGCTACCCCAAAAATGCGGATGTATCTCTTATTTTCACAGCACAACTATTCCAAAGAAAAAGTTTAAAAAGTTAAAATATTCGTATTATTTCAAAAACAAAAGTAGGATACAACTTCTAATTTTCTTGGAAAATTCAGTTTACATATAAGCTTTATTTATTAGTATTTAAGTAAAGTCTGTATTTTAATTGTTATTTGATTGGTATAAATTTAAAATTAAGTCCCTTATTTTTTTTTTCCTATAACCCTAAGCATTTTACGATATTGTGCTGAAAATGCATTCCAAGCAGGTGTCTGTGTTTACGTAAACAAATCCACAGGTACTTGTGGACAGGACCCCCCCCCCCCCCCCCCCAATATTCAACCCTGGGACTTGTTGGACATTTTTTTCACAAATTATATTTATTGCACTTATTCATCATGTGTATAATAGGAAAAAATCATGAAAGCCCCAAAATAATCGTTCCACACAAAAAACACCCCACTATACATTATAAGAGAGAAAGGTATGCCACTCTGGTTTGTTTACGTTGTACCCCCACTGGTCTTTCTGGGTTTAAAAACATGTTTTTATTTTATTTTAACCTAAAATGTCGGTTCACACTGTCTCTACATATATTTCTGTCTTAGTTCATGCTATCGGATTGGCTCTGCATCTCGTAAGAATCCCACAATTAATCCTTAAACAGCATTGCAGTCAGTGCGTTGAAAAAATCCTTAGGTAAACGCAACGGAAGTGCATAGATAATATATTACCTATTATGAAAACACCCGAGAGAGATTATTACGTCAGGGCAAAACTGTTTACTGCTTAGAGAAAAGTAACACTTAAAAAAGGATAATAAACAAGAATCTGATATACCATGAAAATCCTTAAGAGCAGTAAGGAAACACTTAAAACATTACTTTCCAACAAACATGCATTTAATATTACATGTACATAATCAATTTATAAAATTTTAATTAGGGATGGAAATAAATAATATCCAAACATGAAACAGATGTGTCAGACTCTATGGTATCATTTATTTCAAACTCACTGGGGTATATATAGAGTTGATATATGAATGGAAATAACTATTGTTAATTGATAATACATCATCGATATATCTCAATGTCGAGTTCAAGACCACAGCAAGTGTTTTCTTCTTCTCATGTGTAAGATTTTGAATAAATTCTGCTTCATATGAATATAAAAAGGTCTGCTAGCCTAATAACAGGTTGCAATTGGTACCCATGGGAATTCTGACAGATTATTGGAAGACCTGGTCTCCAAAAACTACATATATATTGTCAATCAGAGACTCAAGCATCCAAAAACCTGTATTACTAAAGTATAGCTCAATATGATCACCAAAATCATCGTTGCTTGACATAATATGCATGTATAATCTTTCTTTAATATTAAAAACATTTTAAAAGGCCCTAATCAAGCCATCATTCTGACATTTATTTATGCATGATTGTGTATACTTTATCAACAATCTCTGCCACTTTCACACTGATATGGCTACTTTTTGTGTTTCTCTTGTTGGAGAGCTATAATCTCCAAACTTGTGTATTGAGTATAATAACTTTCATCCTTCTCATATTGGCCTAGGTGAAAACAGATAATACTACAGGTCACTTACTCAGAAGGATTACTTGATTTTGTTGATCATGTTGATTGATGGTAGTCTGCACAGTAGCGCTAGCAGTTTCTTTTTTACCATTTCACTGTGAAAAAAAAATGTGGAACTTATTATATATTAAAAATATTTACCATTACATAAGCATTAGTGATATGGTCATTGCTCTTTTTTGTAACAAATCAATTAAACACTGTACCTTTATATAGTACGAATTATATTGCATGTACATGTACTTTCGATCAATCTATTTAAAAAACATCAGATTAATTACCAATAGGTTCTTGAATTTTTAGTTTCTGTTGCATTGGGCTGAAATTATGAGAAAAACTTTATTTTGAACAAGCATTTATATGTACAGTATTGTACTTGCATACATGTACTTAAATACCTACCATAATTAAGATTAAACAATCATTCTGAGAGTATTGCATTAGCAATACTAGTCCCCTACCGGCAAGTGTAATCTGGTTCCCACTAAAAATTGAATTGCCACAATTCCATTAAAAGTCATTGATTCAGAAGCATTACAAAATGCAGACTTGAACTGTAACTCATCAAGATACACTTACATACCAAAACTCAGCTCAATATCTGCAAGCGTTTAGAAAAAAGTGCGGAAAACAAATGGGACAGACTGAAAGAGGGACAGACAGACAGATGGACAGACTCAGAGGAAACCTATAATTCCCTCTGGTTTCACCGGTAGGGAACTAATAAAAAAGTGGGAAAAAGCCACCCTGTTAAGCTGTACTTTTGTCTCCCATGGTGAGCAGTGGAAAAAGGTCTTATGCTTGGATATGTTGTACATGTACTTTGTATCAATCTGTACATGCATAATCCATTGGCTAATGAAAGAGGCAATGTATTCGTAATACGTACACTCTTAAATGTACTGGTAATGTGTACATTTTTTGCAGCGGTAATGAGTATGTGACGGTAAATAATTACCATTTTGAAAATGTAGCGGTAATGATATTCACCTGGATAAAGAAATGGTCTATCTATTCCAATCACATTTTTTACAAGATAGGGCACTTCTTATTTGCTGTACATATAATTGTTTTCATTTTCACAGGGCTCTAACACTGCTTTTTGGGAATGGGGCCGGGCTGTAAAGATTGGGAAAATAAAGACCTTTTAGGAAATTTTGGAATAACCATTATACGTACTTTAAAATCATATATATTGGGTTTCCGGTCTTTGCTATCAACTAAATTTGTTTTATAAAACAGAGGAATATGCATAGCAAGTTATGTTATTATTGGTACATATCCAGCTATATTTTCTTTAATTTTTGGGAGAAATGACTATTGGGAAAATTAACACATTAATTGGGAAAAAAGGTACCTTTTTTGAATTGGGAGTGGGGCCCTTGAACGGCCCTAATTATAGACAATTAAGAGCCCTGTTTCATATTTGAGAGGTCGATTTATAACCTTCATTCTTCATTTTTTTAAGCTTTGGGTGTGTGTTGATTACAACATATCAAACGCTTATCATATGTCAGGTGACTTATCTTTAAGTTATTGTCATAGAAATTTCAAGTCTGTTAAAATCTTAATGTTTAAATAACTTGTGCCCTGTAGGAAATAAGATTTTGTAGCAAATAATCTTTACAACCAAGCTGCAATTTTCCCCAAGTTATAGGCTGAAAAAGGGGGTGCATATTTAAACCAATGCATATTACATTCGGCAAGATATGGTAACTGCTTGATTGTCACATTTCAGTTTGAAACATGTTACAAGTTTTATTTCAAAAAATGAAAATATTATTGAAAAAGTAAATACAAATACTCATTGACAAAAACTATCTACTAGGGATGGCAATTTCTAACTGGTTAACCGATTACTCGGTCGGAACGATGGCAATCGGTTAGAAAATCTGCAATCGATTAGTCGAAAAAATATTATAATATATGTAAAATTGAAGGCAATGTACTAAAATTCATTTTCAAAATAGAAATTCCTACCTAAACGTTTAATTTAGCGTTCTCATTTATTTATTTAGGCTGATTGGGAGGTCATTATGGCTCTCCAGATTAAAATTGCGGGGTAATTGGTCAGTCTGAGATATGTTAATAAATGTTAAAACATCATGTCATTACCCCGACTGTCCTCTAATTCTTTAATGATAATAATCACCGTTGAGCACCGTGAATTGGTATGTGTGTATCTTTTGCAGTTATCTATCACATTAAATTATAATACAAACATTGTAAATTAAGTGATACATTTTAGACTTAGTTTTGATTATGGTGATAATGAAGAATAAACTTGTGTGACATCCGCTCTGGAAAATTATCCACGATATCTCAGGCATGGTTCATGGTTTTCTGAATTTTTTCTTGTCTATTGAAAAAAAAATATGCGCGTAGTTTTATGATCAAGACTAAAGACAAATAGAATGATTTTGACCTCTAACATCTTTTTTTAAAGACTTCTTGTGCATAGGAATAGAGCTACTTGAAAAAAGTCAAGAAAATGACATTGTGTAGTTTGATACGATTAACCGGTTAATCGGTCGGAACGTTTTGCGGTTAACCGATTTGCAATTCTGTATTCGATTGCCATCCCTACTATCTACTAAGTGGTTAGTATGTAAATTGTAACTGGTTACAAAACTGGTTATGAAAATTTCAACTGGTTATGATCTTTCTCAATAGTTAATAAACCAGTTAATCATTGCCATCCTTATTTTAAAGATACTTTGTGACAAGTTTGATTTAAACTGGTCCAGTAGTTCTTGAGAAGAAGTTGAAAAATGTGAAAAGTTTATGCATGACCCAAGCCCTTGCTCGTGCAAAAACATACAAAAACAGATAGAAATATGTTACCATGGTTTCCTAGGTAATTCAGTTAACTTATATCAAAACCACACATTGTCATATAAATAAGACTAAGAGTAAGTGCTTTTCAAGGGTCCAGATCAGCATTCAATCAGTATCAAAGTATCATGGTCTTTAGAGTTTTGTATATGCCTTTTGTCTTCAATGGTAACCTGTACTTATACATGTACTTAAATATGGCCATTGAGGAGACCACTTATAATTCAGGCATAAAGTAGACCAGTGAGAAAAATTGAGTAAATTGAATTAACCCTTGATATCAAGTATATACTGTATATAAATATACCATTCTAATGATCTTATTCACTATATGCATCAATACCCTGTATTATATTATACTGCATATCAAATTAAAACTTATTTATTGTGTCACAACTGAAGTGTTGCTGGACTGAAAGACATAAAGATGGACAATATGTGAATCCTATAGAGCTTTATCATTTCATGGAGGCCCTAATTAACATTCCATCAGTGATAAACTACCTTGCACTTAGATTTTTATATTTACCTTTGTCTGCTATAGCAACCTGTACTTATACATATGTTATACTTAAATATGGCCATTGAGGAGACCACTTATAATCAGGCATAAAGTAGACCACTGAGAAAAATTGTTGATATCAAGTATATACAGTACATAAATACACCATTCTAATGAATAACATTCAATGAGTGATAAAGTACCTTGCACTTAAGATTTTTATATTTACCTTTTGTCTGCTATAGCAACCTAGTTCTTATACTTAAATATGGCCATAAAGGAAACTGCTGATAATTGGGCAAAAGTAAACCACATAGAAAAAAATTAATATACTTAATGAGAAAATTTTATTGTACTCACTGTTAATAGCAAGTACATTTATATGCATGTATTATATAATATATACAGTGGCGCCTTGTTGATCCGGACCCCTCTTTGGCTTAAGTTTGTTAAAAATAATATTGATTAATTTTGAACTGTTTCTTATTTAATTAATGCACAGTGTACTGGTGTAAGCTAAATTCTTCGAGCTTCATATTAGACGTGTAATTTAGTTGGGGTAAATACACTCTAATTTTAGATGCTATTGTTTGTAGGTCACAGGTATCGCCTTCAAACTGACTGCATGGCCAATGTTTTAACTACAATTAACACTATTGCAAGATCAGGGGTTGAAATATACGGTAGCCCGACGCCCCGGGGCTAGTTATTTTAAGACTGGGGCTAACTTATTTAAATGTAATGATAGTCTGTCGGACTAGCAGAACAGAAAAAAAATTCTCGTCAGTTTACTTTCATTTTTATATGAAGACTGGTTTCTTTTGACTGAGAACTAGTTTAATTTGTTTCTGTCACCAAAATATTCAAAACTTTAACTTTTTGTTTTCATTTTGCATAAAAAAATTGTTGGGCTAGTTAGTTTGGGTTAGTAATTTTTTCCTGATCAGTAGCCCCTGGGCTAGTGGGATTTCCAGGAAAATTTCAACCCCTGAAGATAAGTGTGAAAAAGTCATTTCTTGAAAAATTACCGTCCGGATAAAGGAGTCATTTTTCAATGAACTATTACGTTTTGTAGTAGAAATCGACCGTCCGGATGCGGAACACATTTTTCTGGATTAATGAGACAGAATGACATGGAAAAAATCTATTCCCGAAAAATAGCATCTGGAAGGTGAAGTGTTCGGATAAACATGGCGCCACTGTATATACCATAAATGACTATGACCTATGGTACATATTGTCAGAGAAAAACAATCAACTAAAGCTGAACACATCTCATAAATAGGCATACACCATATTCGATTATATATCATCTACTATATCAGCACTGGGGTATACTCTTCGCATTTGTTACACCTGACTGACACCTTATTGTCACAGGTATCGGAGTGGAATGGTGACACATGCTCATGCTGGTTATCTTGCATTGCCTTTGTTTATTTATTTTATTGCAGTTGCGTGTACTTGTGTATGTTTGTATACTGCACTGACCTGTGCAACTGTTGTAAGTTTCATTGGCATCTTTCTCTCCTGCTGTACGTGAAAGAAGTACACAGTAATTTTTTGTCGCTACCGAGAGCTATGTAGCATATGTCAGTCTGTCTATACAGACAAGTGACAACAGATTACACTGAACAGTGACTAAGTGAGTGGCTTATATAGGGACCCTACAATATAGCGTGAATAAAGGAATATGGCGGAAAATTCCTTTTACACAGTGTGTTCAGATTTAAAATCACTAACTTTAAAGCAAACTAATGGATTACATACCTTTTCCCATAATTCACTTCAAATTCCTACTCATCATGTACAGCTACTTCAGAATCTCACATGTATACATTCTTTGACTTTTCTACAGGAACATTATTTCCTACAATAACAATCACATTTTAAAACATTCAAATATTACTTCCAATTGGACATAATTGGTAGTTCACAAGCTAGAAAGCTCACTCAGTAGTTGGATTGATTGTTTAATTGTATGTCGTTTTACATCCTGTTTAAGAATTTTTCACTAAAATAGAGACGTCACCATATAATGGTCAACAATCTTTTCAACAGTTTTTTCTAAAGAGATTTCAGGCTGTCTTTACTGCAATTGTCATCAGTCTACATTACCACCCATTGTGGTATACTGGTCCCGATTTGTTTTCATAAGATTTAAGTTTTAGTTTGTGTGATAACTGGATATCAAAAAGTTTCAAAGTAGAGTGTCATGAGCTCATCAATGCTAATTATCAAAACACTACTTCTAGAAAATCAAAACATTTTAGTTAAATTAACCATTCAAAGTATTTTTTTGAAAAGTAAAACAAAGGTCAAGGTCAAGTGAACTGTAATGCTGGTATTTTTCATTATAATTTATGACAAATTGTGCACATGCTAAATAGCATAGACTTACCTCTTTAAAATTATCAAAAATATGCTGAATATTGGCACTAACTTTTTTATAAGTAGGTCAAAGGTAAGTTCAAGGGTCACAAGATTGGCAACCATGGTATTTAAAAAAAGTCACAGTGCCAAGCAAAAAATTAACCAAATATCAAAAACAATTAAACCTCTTACAATTCTCAAGATATAAGGTGTGACAGATGGACAGACAGACAGATGCCAGGTAAATTGATCCCTAGGTGTTGCACTGCTGTGCAGTCGACTCACAAAAAATGTTCTTACAGGGATAGACATTAACTTTCAGATTTTCTTGCCCTTCAGGCAAGTGATCTCAAACTTTGACTTGTCCGAACTCAAAACTTGGTTGCCCAAAATAAGGAAAGAACTTCAGAAGAAATATTTTATTACTGTAAATGTTATGACAAGAAAAAATGCGACCAAATACACTACCGTCAATTTGGCAAGGTGAGGTACCTGAAAAAATTTAAATGCTGCCTTTGTACATAAATGTATACCACTGTCCTTGTAAATTTAACCTGTTAACACACACTGCCATATACATGTAGCAATAATCCTCCGTTTAATAAATAAAATTCATATTTTAAAAATTTTTTTTGGTTGGATTCTTTTGTGAATTGTGATTTTCTGAGATAACTGTGAAACAACGCTGAAGGAAGATAGTTGCTACGTAACACACCTTGATCAGGATACATCGTGTTACACTGTACTTATATTCTTTGAGTAAATAAATAATCTAATGTCCAAATAAGAAGTTAAGAAAGATGTTAGACAGTGAATAGACGAATAGCATATTTATCAGGGAAAAATGGAATAACGAACCCGATTTTCAAATGAAAGGTACAGTCCCTGAAACGTTCTACTTTCCCATTTTTCCGTTCGCTCACCGTTCGTTCACCGTTCGTTCAGCGTGCGTTCACCGTTCGTTCACCGTGCGTTCACCGTTCGCTCTCCGTTCACAGTTTTGCGTTCAGCGTTCACCGTGCGCTCGCGTTCACCGTTCACAAAGCGTTCACCGTTCGCTCTTCGTTCGTTCATTTTGCGTTCACCTTGCGTTCAGCGTTCACTTATCGTTCAGTCTTCAGTGTCATTCGGAACTCCGAAGTGAAAGGACTTATCTTCTTTTAAGTAAGGATTTACAGGTTTTGAATTTAATAAATAACATACCGTGTTTGAAGAATCATTATTTCATGGGGAAAAAAATTATCAACAATATTTATTTTTATTATTCTAACTTAGCTGTTAGGTTATTTATAAAATTTATCTGGAAAATAAATGTTGTTATAAGTACATGTATGTACCTATGTAGAACAATGCTTAATGCTGAAAAATTAAATTTAAATACGGGCAAAATACTGATACTTCAAGCACTGCAACATTTTGTTGTTATGTTAAAGACGACAAATCGTTAATGGATAGATAATAATCGAAGTCAAATAATTTACCAACTGCAGCAAAAATACGAAAATATTTATTTATATATCATTTTTTTAAATAATACAGAAATACATGCTAGAACTTTTTCTGAGAATGACAAACAGTACTGCAGATATCCAGTTAATTAAATATCTTTAGAGCGAATTAAATTGATAGTGTGGTTTAAAAAAAATATTTGTTTAAAATGTAATACATTAAAGAATTTTTTTTCAACTTTACATATATAAAGTCTTTAATTAGAGAGAGAGAAATGCCTTTATAACATGATTATCATTTATATAACCAAAGCGATTCTCCAGTAATGATATTTTTCACCGTAACTTTAAATGTTTGTTATTCGATATTATTAAGAGCCCCCCCCCCCCCCCACTTTCCCCTAAATCGGTTACTTAGTTAGTATTTCCAGTACATTTTAATTAACATTTAAAAAGAAGTTAATGTGTTTTGTAGCACAAAAAATTCAGTCTCAAAACAAACATGCATCTAAACAGTCATTAAACAATCGTAGTTCAAAATATACATGTGCCGGCCGTGATATTTTAAATTGGCAGGTAGTATGTTTCAAATTCAAGCGGCTTAATTATTCCAAGTATTTATTCCCAATGTATTTTATTCATTTATTTATTTATTTATTCTAGAAATGTTGGAATCAGATCTAGAAATGATAAGAAAAAAATGTTAAAACTTCTTGGAAATACTAACACTTTGCCTTCGGTGTGACGAGACTTTTACACCTGCACAGTGTCGAATGATTTTGATCGACAGGTCAGGCACGCGGACTTCGTGTGAACTTGAAGCAGGAAAATAAAAACCGATTATGACTGTAAAACAAATGGATTTGTTGATAAAAAAAAAATGGTTACTTTCACTGCCTGATATATTTAGAAAAAATTTAGAATTTCTGTTTGATATAGGTACAAACATTTGAGGAAGGGGGGGGGCTAAAATGAAATCTCTCTCTCTCTCATTTGTCTGTTTAATAAAAACTATGACAGCATATTACTTAAATATCAAGTTGTGAAAATTTAATATATAACAAATAATATGATTGCCTCCTTGTATCATCTTGTCCGAGTATAACCACGGCCGGGAAAGTCTACAGATACATGTAGAAGTCTGCTCAATATATCATCATAAAAAATAAAAATGACACATAAATATATTATTGCATTAAAGTGTATTTAGTATGCAATACGTCCACATACCTTTGTAAAATATTTTTTTTTCTCATTATTTTACACGGAATCGCCTTTTATGGTTGTACAACCATTCTAATTCATGCTATAAGTCCGTAGTTTTCTCTTCTAAAATCCACATTATTTGTAATGGTTTTATATATCAAATAAGAATAAACATATTTATTTTACAACTAGATTAATTTCATCTGTTATACTACAGCGTTCGGTAACAATTACAATGTTTTACAGCGATAAAAATCGTATTATCAAAAAGTTGAATTTAAACATCGTACATATGTGCAGAAAAAATTGCAAAAAACTTAAATTAATAATTTTACTTAATGTGCATGTATCGTCTTTCTTAGGACAATTTTCATTGATTTGTTTATTTATTTATTATTTATTTATTTTTTAGCACCAGGCATTAGAATACAATAGAATAGTTTCAATGCAAGGAAAAGATCAGAGGCATTCCGAATAAATCGTTCATCTTGCGTTCACCGTTCGTTCACCGTTCACTTTGCGCTCGCGTTTGCGCTCCGTTCGCGTTCTGCGTTCGCTCACCGTTCAGCGTTCACACATCGTTCACCAAGTTGCGTTCAGCGTTCACACATCGTTCACTCACCGTTCGCTCTGCGTTCGTTCAGCGTTCGTTCACCGTTCGTTCAGCGTTCGCTCACCGTTCAAGTGGGAAAGTAGAACGTTTCAGGGACTGTATAATCCAAAAATGCTGACAAGGAATTCTGAATGCAAAAACATTGTCAGTCAGGTACCTGGCGGAAATCAAGTCTTCAATTTATTTTTTTTTATATAAATTAATGTAAACTAAATTAATATGTACATTTCTATGAAAAAAAAAAATCACTTGCCCAATCAGACAAGTACGTCGCAAGATTCACTTGCCCGAACTGAGAATTTACTTGTCCCGGGCAATCAGACAACCATTAATGTCGATCCCTGTGACTTATTTATCATTGGAATGACTAGTAAACACCAAACTGAACTTAACCTGCTTAAGTGAGCCAGTAGTGCCCAGTACAGAGCAACAAGTGCTGTGAACAGTGAGTGAAGTGTGACCGATTGATTGAGTGTTGTTTTATGTCCCATTCGAGAATTATTTCACTCATAAAGAGTAAAGGGTTAAATAATTACAATATAATGTAAGGAGGCAAGTCTGCCTCACCATAACCTGGTTCTTTGTGGCCCTATTTTTAACCTTCATACCCATCTCCACTGGGAATTCATTTCCTCCTCCCCCCCCCCCCTCCCCAACAATCAAGTCATGACTCCATATGCAGCCAAAGGCTGTAATGGGCAGCTAGTTCATTAACAGCTAGGGCTATCAGGAATTCAAAGTCACTGAAGTTCTTTTGGTTTTTATGATATTATCAAACTATCAGTCTATCACTGAGTATCTGCATGCTTTAAAAGTTAGTATTTACCCCTGATTTCCTTTAATTAAAGCTTTTGTGTCTATTTTCTGCTAACAATTTATTTACAGTTTATAACTAATAAAGCAGCAAATATACCTTACCCCATGTTGCAGATTCTCTTCATCCAAGTATTTGAATGATGTACATTGTACTTAATCTCTTCATCTGTTCATCTGGATCCTTTCACTGCATTCAGACAGTACCAGTAACTGTTATATATGGATATATTTCCTTGTCAAAGCTGTCACTTTTTAGGCACAATTGCTAAGTTTGCATCTTTATCAGCATTATTTATTAATGAAATGACAAATTCCATCAGACACACCTGCAAAAATGAAAACAAAATCTATTAATTTACATATAATCATGTCCATATTCTCTTGACTTCATTATTATATAATTGAACTGTTTATACTGCACTGCAAATATAAAGGGCTGGGATAATACACTTTCGTCTACTATTCTATATCTAAATAAATATACTATATTAGGTATCACAATATTTATGCTACAATACAGATCACAATATTTTTAATCGGTTATCATGGTTATAATTTTTTCATTTTATATTAAAATGAGACAAAGTTTGACACCATGTATATCCAAAGTCTCTAAAAATTAACAATTTTAGTCATGTATATGTGTTATGCAAGGGTGTATCTGTCAGTATTTCCAAAATTTATCAAGCATGACATTTAAATTGATACAAATATTTTGATTTCAGCTTTTCTTTTTCATGAAGTTTGACTTAAATATTCTTTGATAATTTTTAAATCAAAATAAAATCAAAAACTTTTAATTTCTTCATTTTATTTGCTTGGAAAATAATTATTTTTTTCTTTTGTATTTGTACGAGTATTTAGTTTCAAACTAGTTCTACATGTATATTAGCTAATCAGTGAAAATCTATATGTTTGATTTACTTCAGTTTACATGCCTGTGTGTGCATTATATTACAAATCATGGGATCTGTGCTTGTAGGTGCACTCAATGTTTTAAAGTTATTCATAATTTGAGAATTATTGTTTTTTTTTTTATTGTCAGTATATTTAAACCAATATTTTTTGGTTTTACAAAATAATATGAATTTTCTTTTTTTAAGAGAGATGATGCGAATTATAATTTCAATTTTAATTTTGTTTATATATTGTTGCTGTGATCTCAATAACCTAGATAGAACGTTCTAATCATTAAAATGATATTGTCCTATGGACCTGGTTTAACGATAGAATTCGTTCCGTGTATTGGCAATGTAGCGAAATAAGCAAGTTCGATAACTCGAACTGACTGCATTTTCTATGAACAATCCAGAGAGTTCCGAATTCAACATGGCGTGTAAATTTGAAGTGAGGAAAAAAAGTTGAGAAAATGAGTTGAATTTTCTTATTTATATGGATTATTTTTTAGGTTAAAAGTAGGGATGTCAACGAATAGTCGACTATTCGACTGTCAGTCGAATGGACCGACGATCGAATAATGAAACGACATTCGAATATTATAATTTAAAAAAAATGCAATAAAAGAGTGCTAATGATATGGAATTCTCATTTCAAAATTGAGAAACCGTCTTTCCTCGGAGACAGTTGATAAGATGATTTTCCTCTACAAAAAACTTGATTTTCCATGTGCGTATAGAAAGTACAGTAATTATAAATGCTTCACTACCACGAGAATTAATTATCTACCAGTTACTGCTTGTGTTGTTTTTGTAATAAATCAACCATCAATATATATCTGGGCTTTGTTTGTAAAATAATTAATGGGACTTGATTTTATACGATGTACCAATTATCTTTTATTTTAAGATTGCTCAAATGCGAAGAACATTTGACATGATTTGACGCTTCGATAATTATTAGAACAATTCGCTTGCATTTTAAATTGTTCATAATAAGGGCATTTTGATAGCCAGAACAATCAATAAATGAATAAGCAGTAACTAACTGTTTAACAATTTAACAGCCACCTGGCGTTTGGATAGTGTGAGATTACCCCCCCCCCCCTTAATTTATTTCACAATAAGCTTTAAAAAATATCGGCTAGCAAATTTTGAATGCTAACTAAAATAAAAACTAACTGCATGTACAGACCAACTTATGAATTCGATTGATGGGGAAATCATGAATTTAGGAATATTAGATTTCTAAATTTATTGCTATCCAACGTTACGCGCTGCATTAATTTTTATGTTACTTTTTAAACAGATTAAGGGTTTTTGAGTTATAAATTCGTCATGTACCAGTGAAGTATGAAATAAAATTTTATTTTCAGAAAATGTTCCGAATATTCGACTATCGTTCGAATAATGCAATCGAATAATCGACTAAGAAAAATAAATATTTTGACATCCCTAGTTAAAAGGCATATAAAATCTCAAAAAGGTTTGTTATGATTAATTTGATAGTTATTTTCAGTGCAATTTTTTTTGTATTCTTCAAAATCATTTCTGAGCAGATCCTTTCCAATATGCTACATTGCTAGTATATGGGACATATAAACTGTGGTGATCGAGGGCTTGTTCCGAGACACAGTTAGATTGTTCTAACTAGCAATAACCCAACACATGTATCTTGTAAGTCAAACACATGTATTTCGCAAATTCAGTAAATAATTCTAAAAAAAAGAAGAAATCTTGTAAAAAGGTATTCCATAGAGAAAATTACCCAGAATACGTTGTAGCATAACAAACACTGACATATACTCGAACAAAACTTAAGTATGAAAAATAATCAGATAATGGGTCAAAATCACACCAGTGACCACCTACCCTAATCAACTGTTATCCACAAAAAAAAATTATATACTTATATGTCAATCTACTTCCAAAATTACGTGTTTTCCAAGATCTTACAAAATTATTTTTACAGTATGTCTCTTCAAATATTTGTTTTCCTGCTTAATAGTACTGATCATGCTGATCAGACGATTATGGGTGGGTGATATTAAGATAGTATGCCCTCATAAACTTTTAGTCCCAGACCTATGAACCAAAGATTCATTTTGAAAATGGTTATCATGGGTCCAAAGGACCCCCCTTAATGACAACAATGAGTCCCATGACAAAATCAGTGCATCCAAATCCAAGGGTCATATATTAGATATAACAGAGGAAATTCTGGTGAAATATAAAAAGTTATTGCACGAAAGAGCAAATGCTTTATTGTTGCTGTGAGTAGTTTTATAATTTTACTATCAATTGTCCAAGTAAGACTACATGATTTTGTGTCATAAATATAATATATTGTCAACTGTGCACTTTGGTTCTATTTTTAGATCGTACATAGGATCTCACACATTGTAATGTATCAGTCATAAAATGCACAGAAGCAGAATGAAGCAAAGAACAGGGCTCGACATTACCTTTTTTTCCTACTTGTCCATTCGGACAAGTGACCAAGACATTTACTTGTCCGAACTTCAGCTTCACTTGTCAGGAAAAAATTCAATAAATATCTAATACTATCAACTGGAAAACTAAAATAAAGTCCATTTATTACACATGACATGTGCTTGATTGATTCGTGATGTTATTGATAAATACAACAAACACATAAAACGAAATTTTATCTACCGGGGTAGTCTTTCTGGTCTGACAACAACATAAATGTTCACAAGTGAACCAAACTTCGTTAAGTTCGTAAGTTCCATGCCTTTTCAGTAGTATGCAATTAGTGAACTTCGATCTCGATCGAATGTGAACTCAATTAATAGCAATCGCTATCGGGATCGAAGTCCGGTTTTTATGTACAGCTTCCGTCTTGAAACTACCGATTAACTTTCAACAGTCGTTTTTTAGAATTATTTAGAGACTCCTTTATATTAAAATGCACTTGTCCAATCGGACAAGTGCCCAGCAATATTCACTAGTCCGTAATTTTTTTTCACTGGTACCGTAAGCGTTAATGTCGAGCCCTGAAGAAATTTTAAGAAGAAATGAAAAAACAGTCAGAAATAAAAATGATTAAATTTTAAACTTCTTAGCTTGTAAGGAAAAAAAAATGATACAGGTTACATGTATAGCTTTTACATAGGTATAGTATTCACTTCAGAAATGTTGCACAGTATAGACATAATCAGTGATAATCGAACTATGCTATCTAACTTTCAAATATTTTCTGATAATTGCTGGTTAATTGGCTGCAGTTGTGAAATCTGACCTTTGTTGGCAACCTTATATATACCTGTTAAAATTGTTCATGCATATCGCTTAGCACATGGATATGATGCAATCAGTCAAGTTTAGAATCGGATTATACCAAATAATACACGTTCTTCTATAAATTTATTGCGTCCATTGGGATGCACATTTATTAAAATAATGCGTCCTGAGCAAAATTTGTGCATAATTTACGCAGGACGCACACCAAAATGAATCATTGATGAACACCATATTTTTTAGCCCAACATACAAAGAACTATGTAGCAACCTATGATCTACAGCACATGTAATTTTCATAATGCTAGCTCACATCATAAGGAATACATATATGACTAGCAGTGGTGAGAGTGTTTGCTTTAGAGTCACAGATAAAGGAGTTGATCCTAACATCACGGGTTCGAATCCCACTGCAGGATGCGGAGACCGGTGTTCAAATGAAACTGAGGTCCCATGTTGTAGTAGGTGCTGGTATGAACAAAATTACTCATTGCTCAAGGGTCCTGAGTACAGAGGTTCTCAAATGCTGGCTTTTCAATACGAGTGAAAAGTTATCGAAAGAAACGTCATAGAAACAAATAAATATGACTATAAATAATTCTCTTTTCTTACCATTATGGATGTTGTACATGTCCCTTTCGATAATGAAAAAAATCTTTTTCTGTCAACTTCTCATTTTCTCACCCGCCTTTTTCTTGCTAATCTTCTCTCCAACATACTGGAGAAGGTATTCTCGCATGTTATGTGGTACCGAACACACTATAATAAAAATAAATGCATAAATGCAAACAAGTCAACAAAATCTAATTTATTCAGAGACTTGGTTTTATATGTCTCAGACTGTCATAAATCTCACCCTAGGCATCTTCGCTAGCCAAGGGTTTCTGATACGCCACTCTCCTTATAAACTTATGAGGAGGGTAGCGTATCAGAAACCCTTGGCTAGCGAAGATGCACCCTAGGCAGTTAAAATTTTCCTCAGAAATCTGGTCAGAATTTTAAAACATAATTTCAAAAAAAAACTCATGGGAAAATATATAAATAGCCATTGTACAAAATGCAGGAAACTTTCCTGGAAAGTTTAGAAATTGAAACTGTAAAAATGTGATAGAGTGATTTATTTCATATATTAATTATTATATTTCAGGATTACATTAATTCAGTTAAATTGTCATATTTATTTCTTTACAGCATTTCATTTATTGAATAAATCCACATGGAATTATTTACATCAAGCTGTGTTTATTTAGTTATTTATAGATGTATGACATCACAGTGGTCATTTAAACCCCTGTCCCTTTCTATATATATCTTGTGTAGTGTCCAGGCCAACTTGGATTTCATTGGTTGGTTAGTTTCCCTCTCTTTTTGTTTTTACTTAGTTAATTACTTTTGTTGGATATCTTGGTCTGAGTAGACATATTGGCTTTTGATATGATGACTTATTTATGACAATGACCAAGACAGGACAGAATGTAAGTTTACTTTTACTGATTTCATTATTTCTATATAATTGTTTATCTGCTAAATTACCAAATAATAATATTCTAATATAAAGTATGAAAGTTCAGTTTGTGTGATTATTTTATGACTTTGTAAATATTCAGAGTAATAAGTATATTTTATATCTGTGAGAATAAGTGTGCAATACAGTAAAGTTATATTATTCATACACAGATCACTGAATAGAGTACATGTAGCTGTGTTCAGCTTTGTATATATTTGGAGTTGGCTCTATATCACATATAGGTATGATGTATATATATTTTGAATATTGTCTATATAATTATATTATTCTGGAAGAGTTCAGTATCATTTGATCTCATTATTTCATCTATAAATTCCAGTGTTTATACTTTGTACATATTATTGATTAAGAAAGATAACTCAATGTTTTATCTATGAGCACAATTAAAGGGAAATAACTCTTCATTTGACCGTGCTATCTGGCAAGTGATCTACATGTATGCTTTGTTATAAAATATTTATGATTGTTTATATATATTTCAGAGCTGTGATAATACTGATTATACTGAGAGTGAATATATTTATCAACAACGACAGCATGGCGTTTGTCATTATTCTCATATAAACGAACCCCATTTCAATGGCATCCACGGCGGGATTGGCTGACTGCCCATTGCGCGACTGACCGTGAGGATCTCACGCCGAGGAGGATCTAGGATCCACCGACGTGGTGTATTGTGTGGACAGATAGAGACTGTGATTATTGCGTAATCCATTCAACGCTGGACTTTCAGTGAAAGTGACAAAATTGAACTTTGTGTGACTATTTATTCATTGTGGTGTTTAGAAGCTTGCCAGCACGGTAAGGTGTTTTTTTTTTATTGTTGTGCTCAGAACACGTGTATTTTGGACTGACCAGTCAGACAGGCATACTAGTGTTATACAGTAAATAGCCTGCTATATCCTTCCTGTATATAAGATAAATGTAAATATTATTTATTTTTGAGCAAAAGACAATTGTAGTGTGCAAGAAATTAATTCTATTAATCTAAGATACCTGTTTCCACCCTACATTAATCTCTTTTCTCTTGATCAGCTGACCTTGACATTAGTGACCTACATTTAGACTTTCAGGTACAGGTTGTTTACAGGTGATTTGAGGTAGTGTCTAGTGAGTTAATTGTTTTGATCAGATTTGTCGATCTAGTCAGTATTTAGTTGCTTTATCACCCCTATATCACCCCTGTAGTAAATATGTGAAATCTTTCATTTAATACTCAGATTGCTGTACTTTTAAGTACATATTCCTAAGGTCACATTACTTTGAGTAATCAGTGTTGGTGGTTTTCACCATTGTCCGTCATTTATTGTTTACCCATTGAATTCCTTTTCATTTTTTTTTTGCATTGTTGTTCCGTTTACTTTGATTTCGCGTTATTTTGTTTACATCGGGTATTTGACCCCTGGTCGAGAGTTCGTCACGCTTGAGCGCACACGATGTACTGAAGAACAGAGTTATCTTCCTTGTGTAGGTTTGTAGTTAGAGTTATCCTTCATTATTTAGAACCACTGTAGTTATTTAGAATATAGTATTAGATTAAGGTTATATTTATTTAGGATTTAGTTGGTACATTCTTTGAACTTTGATATATATTTATCGAACTTATTAAGATATTTAATTTACTTATTTTCATTTCAGCTTATTTAGAAATTTAATATTAAATTTTGCTTTTCAGGTGTATTATACTTTTGCATTTCAGTGAATTTTAATGTTACATAGAATTAAAATTTAATTAAGTAGATATTTAGAATTTAAGTTTAATTAGTTTTATTAATTAGTAAGATTTAATTATTCAACTTCATTTCGGACTCTTCGGATTGGATTACACATTGGATTCTTCAACTTCAGAGGATGTAGTTTACATAATTTAGATTTATTAAGATAATTAAGGTAGATTTAGTTACTAGGTACTTAGTATTTAGTAAATTAGAGAAGTTTATTCAGAAATCGATCAACAACAAATCATCATGTCAGTAGAAATTTCACAGGAGGAACTCAATCAAATAGCATCAGTTTTCAAAGAATTAAATGTAAAACCTAAAGCTGATACAGCACAGGATTTCAAACAATGGATGACTCAGTATGTTGCACAAATGAATGAGGAGGAATTTGTCAATGTAAAGACAGAACCACACACGGATACTGGAAATTCATCAGCATCAGGAAGCACCATCAGTTCCCACATCCCAAAGATCTCTTGCTTTTCTGGAGATGGCAGCAAGAATGACACCACATATGATCTTTGGCGATATGAAGTTGACTGCTTGATCAAGGAGAAGTACAAGGAGGAAACAATTGCTCAGTCAATTAGGAGATCATTGCGAGGAGATGCAGGAAAGGTTGCCATGAGACTTGGTCCTGGAGCCACTGTCACCCAGATACTGGACAAGATGGAGAGTGTATTCGGCACTATAGAACGAGGAGAAACCATCATGGAGCAATTTTACAGTGCGCGACAAGAAAAAGGAGAGGATAGCATGAGTTGGAGTTGTCGGTTAGAGGAGATTTATAGGAAAGCTGTTATCAAAGGAGTTGCAACCAAGGAGGATGCAAATGAGAAATTAAGATCAAAATTCTGGAATGGATTACATCAATGGATTAAGGATATTACTGGATACAAATTTGATGCACTGACCAATTTTGATGAACTTAGGAAGGAAATCAGACTTGTAGAAAAGGAACATGAAACGAAGAAGGCACAATCTAATATGACTGTAGCATCAAGTGAAGCTGAGAAAGGAGATGAGATTAAGGAACTTAAAGGAATGATTCAACAGCTTACTACCAAAGTCAGTGCTATGGAAGAAGGAAATAAGAGATCAGGACAACAGCGCACAAACAGGAATTACAAAGATTTTGGTGAACCATATGACAGAGTTCAGCCACAGTCCAGAAGAGGAAACTATGGATCTGGAAATTCATACAGTGGACGTCCTCAATACAGGAATTACAATGGTCCAAGATATAATCAGGGATACGGCTATGATTATGGATATAGCGACAATCAGGACTCTGCTTTACAAGAGACAGAGGATGGAGAACCTATATGTTATAGGTGCAGACAACCTGGACATATAGCACGTAGATGTCATGTGCGTCTGGACCACAGCAGAAGACATTTAAACACCAGGAGACCTTCGTTGCGGGGCAGACGATAGGTCAATACAGGAGAAGCCCTAATAGGAGTAGAACCAGTGAATTAGTAGGGAGTACTTCAGAAGTTGAAGCAAGTTTAGAAGGAAACTTAGTCAGAGCATTGATAGATACTGGATCTACTGTGTCAACAGTTAGCTATGATTTTTATATGAAACATCTTAGTCACTTGGAACTTCATCCAATAGAAGAACTTTTAAAAGTGGAATGTGCTAATGGTCAACAATTACCATATCATGGATACATCGAGGCTTCCATCATCAGTAATGGATTACCACAATCATCAGAAGAACAACAGTTTCCATTACTCGTTGTATCAACAAGCAATTACAACAGTACAGTACCACTACTTATAGGAACAAATATACTACAACATATGCTAGATGATGTCAAAGACAAATATGGAGACAGATATCTACAGGATGCTGCATTATTTACACCATGGTATCTAGCTTTTCGAGGAATGACAATACGAGAAAAAGAACTTGCTCGCAACAACAACAGACTTGGAATTGTAAAATCAGCTGAAAATCACTGCATTATTATACCACCTAATTCAACGGTTTCTATATCGGGATATGTCGACAAAGCTATACCATATCAGTCTACAACAGCTGTTCTACAAGCCACATCCTGCTCTGTAATTCCATCAGACCTGGATATTGTACCATCACTTACAGACTATACCTATCCAGCCAATCATGTGATAAGAGTGGACATTGATAACATCACTACAAGGACAGTACAAGTTCCACCTAAATCTATACTTTGCGAGCTACAACCTGTGAAAGTAGAACCAAATCAAACAGATATTCCTTGTTCTAACCTCCAGCAAACCAAAGATGTCCTGAATTTAGTAAAGATTGAAGAAGATGGGCTTACACCTTCAGAAAAACAAGGAGCAGAACATTTATTAAGAAAGTATGAAGATGTCTTCTCCAAATCAGACACAGACATAGGACACACCAACATTGTAAAACACAGAATTGAGCTACATGACGATACCCCATTTAAGCAAAGACCAAGGCATATACCACCTGCCATGTTTGAGGAAGTCAAAGATCATTTGAGGAAGC